CATGCTGAATATCTGTTACACTTCAAAAAAATCTGACTGTCCCACTCTGCTAAAATACTGCTGTAACTGAGTGACTAAATAAAGCTGCACAGTGCTGTTATCATGAGAATTACTTCTGAAAATGATATGAGGAAAAAAAAAAATCAGTTGGCTGAGGTCTGCAAGAGGCATCCTTACCCTGTGCTGGTGGAAAGGGCTGCAGCAGCACTTCTTGAGTCCCTGGGCACGCTGTGTGGCTGCCTTCCCCTAGAGCGCACTCATTGTCTTAATTCTACAATCGGAGCTTTGTTTTGACACCTCAGCAGTGGTCAGCTTTGTCAGCTGTTGTGTGTTTTTGGTTTTTGGTTTTTTTTTTGTTAAAAAGAGTTCAGAACCACCTCCCTTCGGATGCTGACACTTCAACAAACAAGTCCTTGTTACCACATGACTGATCTGAGCCTTGAGGGTTTTTTTTTTTTGGTGAGGGTTTCTAGAAGATGACTTGTGCTATTGAATGGTGACTTGTGTACCGCTTCCCGCATAAAAATTGGAAACCTGTTCTGTGCTGGGCTGGTGAGCCTGCCCCAATTGAAAGTGCTGTTGGGGATAAGAATTGCGCTTGTTTTGGTGTGTGCCACAGGTGTGTTGGGATTGTACGCTGTGCCGCAGGGCCAGTCTGAAGATTAACTCCTGCCCATGACGAGATGTGTATCATCTTTGTTCTTTCTGGGGTGTGAGAAATGAATATGGCTGTACTTGTGCGCTGAGGAAAGATGCTTTTCAGGTGGATTGGGTTCAGAGTTGCTGTGTTGTACAGGTGCCTTAAAAACAAAACAAAACAAAAACCCAAAACCACCACCAAACCAACCCGGAGCCTTCCTGTACTCGTGCCGCTCTGCGGTAAAGACAAGGTTGCCATTGGTGGGTGTGTGTGTGAACAGCCATGCAACTTCTTCAGTATAAACACCGTGGTCTGAAGTACTTGGCTTTAATAAGTGCCTTCCCTCAGAGCCGGGGAGCCGTGGGTGTCACAGCTTCTGTTAATGCCACTTGGTGGTGCTGGTCTCAGTGAGGGACACTCAGTCCTACCTTCCCCTGGTTGTGCCCTTGATCTTGAGGCCGGGCTACCGGGTTTGTTTTCAGGTTGTCTCCACACCTGGAGCATCTGGCACTGCCCTGGTGACAGGTGATGTGTTCTGAGGATGGAAAAACTGGTAGGGAATTTATTTTAAGGGGCTAATCGAGTCCTGGAGCACTTGACGTGTTTTCTGGGGCTTGCGAAAGCAAGTTTAGAAAGCTTTCATGTATCACACTTAACACTTTTGCACCAGAGTTGTACTTGACCCAAAGCTGGTATTATACTGTTTGAATGAAAGAAGAGCAGTGAGATACAGCCAGGCTGGGTGCAGTGGAAGGCTGGGGTCAGACCCTTTCCCTGACGGATTTTCAGAAGCTTCTTCATAAGAATAGGATACTTCATAATTTAAGGTAAGAAACTGTCCTTTTTGCGGAGCAACTGCCTGTCTGCAGTGGGGGCAGAGTGCAAATTTGGGGGTTTTAATGGCACACACTGACGTTGGGTAAGCTGAGAGCGCGGGGCTGTGGGGAGGACAGGGGGATACAGAGCTGCACTTTGAGACAAAGGCTTGAACCCCGACATAATGTGCTCACAAAAGAATATCTCGTGCTACATAATGGAGGTTTAAGCGATCACTGGCTCAGATCCCATATGCAAGATCAGGCATAAGTAGCAATCAAAAAAAAAGTCAGGTCTTCATTTGAATGTATTTCTCTACCTGCTGAGACAAGACCGAGTGTCCCAAATCCTGTGTGTGGGTTTTTCCCTCATTTTTTCAAGAGGTGGGGAGGAGGATGACAGCACTGCCAAATCCCAAATGGCGTTAAGAGCACGAAGAGACGTTAAATGTGAGTTTGGGACTTGCCAGAGCTGTCAGATCTCGGCTCGGGGCCTTCTGTTCCCTTTTCTGAGTTCTGCTTTATGCGGCTGCCTGCGTTACGCTGAACTGGAGCTTAATGCCCGGGGTCTGAGCCCAGTTTCTCTGCGAGCTGCTGGAGGGGGGAGGGGGAATGGAAGCTTTTTGAAGGGTGGTAATGAGATTGAGGAATGCAAATAGTGAGAGGATGGTAGTGATGACGGGGGGGAGTAGCATGGAGATGGTGCTCAGGCAGCAAAACAAATAATAGCGGGGCTATAAATAGGTTGGTTTAAAAAAAAAAAAAAAAAA